CCATGCTTGGCTACTAACTGTTCAGAAAAGACTGGAAGGAAGTCAAGGCGGTGGTATAGCGACATACATGAAAAATGGGCACACCGTTTTAGACAAAACGGATAAACTGGCATGTACTTTAGAGGCCATCTGGCTGTCCAATAAAGTACCAGTTGCATCCAACCTCGATGTCCTGACACTCTATCGACCACCGAGAAGAGAGCCTCCTTGCTAGAGGAGCTTGAAAAGATTACTGCACGGTCGGATATCCTGATTGTGGGTGACTTTAACGCACCTCACATCGACTGAAGCTTGGCCTGCGCACATTACTCCGATCTGGCCTTCGACAGTTGCCTTCTGAGCATGTCTCTAAAGTTATTTCTCACTTAACACGTCACGTTTCCAACAAAGATGCGGGATGGCCAACAGGCCAATTGTCTGGACATCGTTCTCACAAAATCACAGGACAGCATCGACGAAGTGTCATGTTTACCTCCGCTAGGTAAAAGTGACCACGTTGTACTGCTATGGGAGTACTCGTTCTCTCAATACCCGAGAGACCCTCAATAGCCAGAAGAAATATTTGGCGAGGCGATTTCGATCGAATGCTTGCCGAAGTCACGCGCCCCGAGTGGCAACCTCTATTTTTTGGAGACATAGCCGCGGACTGGGAAACGTTCCAGGACACACTGCACAGGCTCATCGAAAACCATTGTCCAATTTCGCGAAACAGGTTGACCACCAGACCACGATGGCTTACGCAGGCTTGAAAATAGAAGTGAAAAAAGCGGAAGCTGTGGAAAAAACGCTTACGGACAGGACTCCTACATCTCTAAGTGCGTACAGAGCTCAGAGAAATTGGGTCAGGGGTCTTATTCTTAGAACAAGACGGGATTTCGAAGCAGACCCGCTAATTCGTGCCAAAGTGAACCCCAAACTATTTAACAATTACCTCAGGCGGAGTACCAAAAACAAGGATCCAATACCCCTGCTGAGGACCGCTGAGGAAAGAGACCTAATAGAAAATGAAGCAAAAGCTGATCATCTTTCGGATTTTTCCCGGTCAGTTTTCACAAAGGAAACAGCATACGATTACCCTGCCGATGTCAACGACGTGGATACAATATTTGAGACTGTTCAATTCCCCGAGGCTGTTGTTCTTAAGGAACTCTTAGGGTTAAAGGAATCTAAGTCACCGAGTCCCCATGAGGTACCGGCCAAGATTTTTAAGGAGCTCGCCAGTGAGTTGGCTAAACCACTCTCTACGCTCTACGAAACATCCTTCGAGACCGGATGCTTACCAGCAGATTGGAAATCCACGAGGATTATGCCGCTCTACAAGGGGAAAGCCGGGTCTTCGCAAACAACTATCGACCTGTCAGCTTTACTGCAATATGCTGCAAAGTTATGGAAAAAATAATCAAGCAACAACTGATGCAGTTCCTGGAACAAAACCATCTGCTTTTGGATGTTTAACACAGTTTTCAAAGAGGTAGGTCCTGCGTAACAAATCTGCTCTACTGTTTAGAAAGGTGGAATGAGACAGTCGATAGTGGAAATTCAGTACACGCAGTATATATCGACTTCAAGAAGGCTTTCGATAGCGTGCCGCACCACCGCTTTCTTTATAAACTTAGCCACATAGGAGTAAGAGGTAGGCCTCTTGCATGGATATAAAGCTTCTTAATCGGCCGCTCGCAAACTTTTCACATCAGCGACAAACAGTCAGTCAAGGTTACGGTTGAAAGTGGTGTTTCCCAATGCTCCGTTCTCGGTCCTTACTTGTTCATTATCTACATCAACGATTGCGGCAACGAACTGGATTGCGATATCGCCATGTTCGCCGATGATATCAAACTTTGGAGCGTAATTCAAACTGCGGCTGACGAACAGAACTTGACGACAAATTTAAATCGACTTCAAAAATGGTCGAAGGACTGCCTCTTGCCGTTCAATGAGAGCAAGTGCAACACCATTCGAATCGGCAGAACCAGTTCTTCAGCCAGCACGGTTTACCAAGTAAACGGCATACCACTGAAAGAAGCGAACGACCAGAAGGACTTGGGAATCTTGATCACACCCTCGCTTAAACTTTCCCTGCATTGCGCAAAAGTAGCCAGGTCTGCGATGTCGGTCCTATACCTCCTCAGGCAAGCTTTTCTGCCTTCAATGACGATGGCTTCGCAAAGGTCTTTGGAACCTTCGTCCGACCGCAACTAGAATCCGCTATCCAAGCTTGGAGACCCTGGGCCGCGAAAGACATCAACATCCTCGAAAAGGTGTAAAGGCGCGCAACCAAACTTGTTATGGGGCATGGTTTGCAGTCTTATGAAACACGGCTGTCGAATGTCAACCTCTTTCCATTGGGCTACAGGCAGGACCTGACACTAACATTCCGCATACTACGTGTTCGGTACTGTTGTCTTGTTTTAGGAGATTTCTTCTAGTTAGCAACAAGAACGAAGTTGAGAGGCCCCCCTCTCAAATTAAGTGTGACTGGGGCCAGGCTCGACGCTCGGCAGCACTTCTCCAAAATTGTGGTTGAAACTAGGAATATTCTGCCTCTAGAT